TGTGTGTGTGTGTGTGTGTGTGTGTGTGTGTGTGTGTGTGTGTGTGTTTGCGTGTGTGTGTATGAGGAGAAAAGTGACTGACAGGGTTTCATCACTGGGGAGTTTGAACTGGTTAATATTGTAGTTGAATCCCATTTACTTTATTTTTTCTGGGACAGTGCAATTCCAAAAATGAACACGGAGCAAATCAGTCGGCACAATTCTCCAGTGTCAGACATCAGTAAAAAGATTATTACAGGAACCTTGTTATAGGGTGAATTGTCTTTTTGTTTAACATCATAATATGCTTAGTTGATGCAGCTAAAAGGTTCCGAAATCAGAGTCACTGATATATGAAATTAAAGAAGTACTTTTGCTGGAACTAAAAATGTGTCTTTTCAGCTCTCATTCCTTCTCTCTTCTGATGCGTGTCTCAGCCCACAGTGTGTCATCTTTTCTAACATCAAAGCCGAGCTCTGAGACGCGACAGGTCGTGCACCGTGCCAGATGTTGTTTGAAATATCACGACTCAAACCTTTATTTTGTCTTTAAAACTCAACAAAGAACAATATGCCATGTAGTCTATGAGCCCTTTCGTGTAACAGTGACATTCTGACCTTTGTGTTTCCCCTTCCTCTCTTTCTTCTCACTTCCTGTCTGTGGAGTGGAGCTGGCCGAGGCTTTGCCCTTTTTGGCCGAGCGAGGCTGCTGTGCGTCGGATATCACCGCCGCCTCCTCCCGTTCAGCTTCTTGCACTTTAATCCCAGAGAAGACACGCAGCACACATGGACGTAGAATGAACAGAATTTTCCATCGGCAAATTAGATTAATGCAGAATAAGATCGTGTCAACATTTTTCTCTTCTTTTTGGCAAGGAATGGGACAGTTCGTGGCCTTATGCCCAGAAACTATCCCTCAGGGCAGGGCCTTAGAAGCCCTGCTCTGGTGTTTGGTGCGTACATAAAAGGGCATCTCTCACACCATGCCCACCACCACCTCAGCTCATCACCCATTCGTGTGTGAGCGCCCGTAAATAAAAAAGTGGCATGCAAAATTCAGGCGACACAGATCAAAACCTATGCTTCTGTGAATTCGACTAAACACAGATTTTATGATGGTAACATTTCCAAAAAAAATCAGTCGCAGATCTTTTAGGTGTGTTCAGACACTTTCCCACACTTTGAAAAGTGAAAAACAGAATACGTTCTCCAAACTTTGGGAAATGCGCGTGCTTTTTCTTCACAAAGACTTTCAGAAGACAAAAGGGTTGTAAGAGATTTTCAGATACAAACCCACACCGTCCTAATCCCACACTCACACGTCTAGTTCAGATTTGTTGGACTTTAAGTGAACCTTCCTACAAAAGATTTTGTCAGATTTATCCAAAGGTCATGTTTAGACTGCAAGGGCTTTGGAGAATTCTCCACTTGCACCCCCAAAGGAAATCATCTATTGCTGTTTTGAGTTGCGATCTGGATCAAACTATAGTTTTTTTTAAATGTCATCTTTTCTTTTTTTTTACTTAATTTTTTTTATTGATCTGCAAAAGCAGGATGGATCCACTGTCGTGCCTCACAGTTTAAGAGGTGGTCTTTTTTCTAAACACCACCCTGTCTCCATATTTTCCCAAAACAATTCAAATATGCGTTCTCATTTGAAATTATCATAACAGCACCAGTTGATACACTTAAACTGTCAGAATGAAATTAATTCTCATCTGCCCGAGATCAAACAAGCCTCCCGGCATCTCTCTTTGTTCAGTCGATATGTCTCTTAACTCCAGTGTTTGAGCTCTGAGGATGGACAGAACACAGGAGAATAAGTCCTACGCACCGTGGTAAATGGTGCTGCTGTTGCTGCTGAGGTAGGATTCCACCAGTGGGGCCTGTTCCTCACTCTGCTTGGTGCGTCGGTTGCGGGATCTCCCATCCACGTTAGACTGCACCATCAGAGGCTCTTGTCTCTTCTTCTTCTGCTTTTGCTCGAGGAGCGCCCGCTGAGGTTTTGAGCACACACACATTTTGGTACAAAACTCCTGAAATACAACACTTTGCATCTAACAGAAAAAAGCAAACTGTGATTTTTCGATTTTGCTTTTATGTTTTTACTATGTTTGGCACAGAAAAAATAGAAATGAAGGTAAAACATAAATATATTAAGTCTACAGTACATTTATGCTTCTATATGTTTTTGCACATAATTGTTCTGCTTTTTTTTCTGTATGATCCTGTCTGTTATCTCCAGTTAAGATGCAACACGGGCCATCTGATGCTTTGAGCCAAATTCTGCATGGACAGCGACAGCAGGCATTCATGTTGTTGAACACTTGTTCAACACAGTTTAACAAGTCCGAACTGCTTCGGAGGCACGAGGGGATTAGGGTTTTCCGCTAATCTGTGTGTGTTCATTTTTTTTGTTATTGGCTGCTGGCAGATTGTCAGATTGAATTTAAGATTAACTGAGCAATACTTACACCCTTAGTGTTGCAGGAAATGTGTCACAGCCATTGTAGAGTTCTCGTGTAGGGCTATTTGTGGTGGCCACGAATGGCCTTTTTGTGCATTTCCCTGTGGCAGCAAAGCTGAAAGGGTTTCTGACAGAAGCTATTCTGCTGTTTAATTACGAGATTATGGAGAGTTGCGTTTCAGTCCTCAGAAGCCCTTAACCTCCAGATTTTCTAGGTTTCCCTCCTCCAAGCGCACCATTCAGATTAGATGGATCGCTCAATGGCCTTGGCACTATCAAGTTAATAAAAAGTCTAATAAGGACACACCAATTTTCTGCAGATACCTTAACGCAGCCAAACCTCTAAAGACACATTAGCTAGTGGCCTTCAAAGCTTTTGTTAAAATCTCCCTTCTCTATCAGCTCTGAGGGCTCAAGAGACAGATGTAAGCTCAAACAAACTGTTCAGCTTTGTTAAAGCTTTATGTTCAGAGATAAGCGGCTTGAACCATATGGACCCAGAAAAAATCTATTCTGTTCCATGGATGGATGGATGGATGGATGGATGGATGGATGGATGGATGGTTTCATCTAGACTAAATATACACTACAGGCAAGTTGTCAAAACCAAAGGTAATCTTTTATGAAAAGCTTCCACCAATTGAGAATTTCAGCTGCAGAGCTTCCTTTCCCTGCAAAACCACTAATGACCATTAGCAGGTACGTTCCCTTAGGGCATGGATTTGGTGGGCAAGTCACCAAAAGGTTATTTAGAAGGTGTTGAACACTCAATTACAAGTGAGTTTTTCCACCTTAAAGTAACATCGCACCTATATAAATATAGTATTAAAGTCTATTGAGTGAATATCCCAACACATAGTGTGCAGCTACTTTACAAGGCTCCAAGATTCCAGTATTCCATTAATACGTAGACCATGATATCAACTGGACTAAGAGACCAGCTATATTCAAGAATGGTATTGTTTTTTTATATGAGCAAATAAAACGCTAAATGACCTTAAAGTGCCACCATTGATAAAACATCACAACTTTACATGAGCACTAAGGTTTGTGCAGAACTCCACTAATGTGATGGACTACAGAAACACATCATAACATGTGAAAAAGCAGTTGTCGTCAGGCTTGGAGAGGAACTGTCGCTACCCGACAGCATTTGTTTTGGTCACGCCACAGTTTGGCTGACAACAAACTATGACAGCATTAGCATCAGTCTGCAGAGTGTGACACCGCCGAATATCAGGTTGATGGATGGATTATGTTCTCCCTCACTCTAAGTGCATCTGTCAAATGATATGTTGTTTTAACAGAATGCGAAGCCCAGCTGTGTTCAGTTTTCTCTTCGGGTTTTCAGCAATTTATCAGCCCGTGGTGGAGTCGCCACGGCTTATACTGACCAAACTTGTTTGTTATAATTGATTTGTCTCGTTATAGATGCGGCAAACAGAGCCGGAAAGACTCACCTGTCTGTCCAGTTTCTGCTGTCGCAGGGTGGTACCCTCATCGTCTAAAGTGCTGCACGGAGAAGAGAAAAAGGTACAAATACTTAGTTCCCTTATTAGCAGTAGAAGTGAAATCATCATGAACAGCATGAAAAGGTAGACCAATCAAGTCAACCACCATCATCAGTTCCACTGAGTTTGAGAGTCTCCACTGCTGTTTTTCCTATTCTTTCTCTTTCCTTCTTTTTAATGTCTGTATGCCTCCTTTCTGTTGTGTATCTTTGCAATGAAAACTCCCTTCATACTGTGTCTGCTTTAGCATAATGCACTGAGGAGGGAACACATGAGCAGGAACCAGTTAAATGAAAGGCACGCGTCATCGTTCCTTTCCTGTAAATGTCTTAAGCATCCCAAAAAACACAAATAAATCTAACTGAAAGAAGGTTTCAAAGTCATCAAGGAGTGAACACAAAAAGCCACACACAATAAACCCCAGGTGGAGTTGGAATCACAGGTTGATGTGCAGTGCTATGCATGTTCGAACTTCAGGAGAACACCAGAGGAGCATGCAACCTTCGAACAGAAAGACCAAAACATATTAACGCCCTTTTTTACTGAGTTATAACATGAATTGCAGCATCACTGAGCTATCAGGGCCAACATTTCACCATCATTCAATCTTATTGTCTGGTATGAAACAGAAGGTATGAGGTAAGTTGAGAGAAAACAGTGCACAAAGCAGAGATTTAATTAAATATCCAGAGCTGGCTTTTATTACGCCTGCATATTAAATGAGAAAAGTGGAAGTGCCAGTTAAAAAATGAAAATGATTTTTTTTCATGGAGCAGAGAAAATAGAATTTAATTTAAGAATAGAGTAATAAATTATCAAGCAAATCCATTAAAGCTAATTTGATGAAAACATTTGTTATAGGCAAAAATAGAGCAATATTCCATCATGCTCCATTACATCTGCTGCTTCGTTATACTACTTAACATCTGCCTTTTAACCAAAGGTACCTCAAAGTTTTGCGTAACAAGAAAAATGAATAGTTAAAGAAAACATACTTAATTTTCGCTTAGGTGGTTGAACCATTATGGCTATGGTCACAAACTTAGAATTAGATTTTTTTTCTTTTGTTGATCCAAATTATATCATGACAGCAAACACAAAATGCGTGATTCCCTTTTATTTTAATGCAATCCATATTAGTAAGTAAAAACAAAAATAAATGTTAGGGTGTTCCAGTATCCCACAAACTCTGATCTAACAATATGAAAGCATTCCTCCAGTTTCTGTTACTGAGCTGTTTGTTGTCCTCAGTAAAACTGGGCTAAATCTTTTTATGCATGAGCTCTGGACTTGAAATATATTTGATTTTCTGGCACACTCTGACATAAAGCTGAGGTCAGCAAAGTGTAGGCAGCATCAGAGAACTAAGACGTCACATTTTTTCAAACAACTGGCCTCTGTTTCTCCTTCCATCACAAAATGTTGTGAATGGACCCGCCAAGACATAAAAAATAAATGTGCTTGTTTAAGCTTTTGACAAATGATCTCCTTTACTGGGTGTTTGTAGGAAATTTTCCTTTACAGAACTGTGGAGCAATTAAGTGAGAACTAGTGATTAGCGCGGTGAGAGTGACCCTCTTTTTAATTAAGTATTTAAGTAATTAAGTATTTAAGTATTTGTTTATTTTTCCATTAATCTGAAAGTGAGAACGTTGCATGTGTTTGCAGGCTTTGAGAATGGAACTTCAGGTATTTTCAGGATTAATTAATGATGGTATTTAGTTAAATAAGAAGGTAAGTGTGTGCAATAAAAAAGTAGCAAATAAACATCAAATTTCAACATAAATTAATTAATGGTAAACTACAAAACCCTACCTTTAACTGATTTTTTAAAAATGTAATAAAAAACAGAATTCACACGAATAAATATGTTTAGAGTAGAGGATGTGTTTTCAAAATAAATAAAAATGTGACTAATTGCTAAATAATAAGAGTAATATAAGTATAATGACAATTTGCAATGCCATATTTAATCCGCTTTATTAGATCTGTAAAGACCAATTTACTATGTTTTAACTTTTTCAACTGAAACACAATAACTCATAATGTCAAAGCTAAAACTAATTGTATTTAAGTTTGCAAACTCAACAGTTTGTGTTAAAAGTCAAACTATGAAGTTCTGGGATCTTGGTGTTGACTGTGGAAAACCTTGTATGAAAACAACCATAGAAAACAAAGATGATACCAGGCTTATCCTTTAAAGATCAGTCCACCACATGCTGGGCGAGGGACATAAAACGGGGAGCTTTGAGCATTTCTGATGTTTTATTCAAGGATACTTCAGTCAGTCTTTGTTTGACATCCTGATTTAAATTGGCCTTTAATATACATGTGCCGTATCGGAGCGGGACTTCCTCCATATGTTCGCTTTACTCGCATGGACTAACAAGAAAAACTTGCTGAGGGTAAAGATCACAGAACAAGCAAAGCACAAGGACAACAAATCCAATCGTGATTTTATTTGTGGCAGTGAGGGCTCCAAAAACAACGTTAGGATTTGACAGACACCAGTCTCTCTTTGCAGAAACATCCTCCTCCCCGCTGGCAATTACACCCTTATCTGTTTGTCCTTTCCCCTGATATTGTAACTATTCTCAAATTGAAAACCGCATAGGTTATTCAGAAATTGATTCCTGCTTTTCTGGAATATGTTAAAGACATCCCAGAACCTCCTTTTTGACACAGCTGTGTGTCCACCGGCTATGTAAACAGCATTTACTAAAGGTGCACAGAATAATAATCTCCATTAACAAAACAACAGGATATTTATCCAACACCAGCGATTAGCTGGTTGTTTTCTGCATGCTCCTTCCCTTTTCAGAGCTTTGGGTCTCTGGCTACAGACTCACTGATTGTTCCTGGAGCTCTTCTGGCCCCCCGGCTCAGAGACCTCCGACAAACCTCTATGGCTCCTAATTAGTGAGTCTTATGCAGGAGATTCAGAGAGAACGAGGCAAAGCAGCAGAGAAAGGGATAAAAGGGAGAAGGGAGGAGGTGTTTACTGATGTGTAATGAATGGATTCTTTTTAGTGCTCAGCAGACACAATGACAGAAACAATTGTAATGTTTCATTTTCTTACTGCAGATTAACTTTGTGCAGCTTTAGACAAAGCAACGGCAGGGTTTCTTACTTTGTGTAGTTTTCTTTCATTTCGTGTTCATTTTAAAGGACAATAAGAGGAATAATTTACTCAAATGTATATTTATATCATCCTAAATGGAATTATAAAAGAAGGGAATGATATCACTCTTTTTTATTTTTCAGCTGCTTCACTTCATTTCTGCCACACAACCCACTCATGTAACAATCACACCGTATTTCCCTCCTTCTACAAATCTACTCACGGCTGACAGAAGGATTGACATGCTTTCTTTTGAATGGTTTTGTTACATAGACAATATCTGCAGTCTTGCATTTTGGAAGGGAAACGAACTGGATCTTGAACTCATTGATCTTGCATTATTGACAGTTTTGTAAAAGGTCCAAATGAAACACTCATACAATTTCACATATATCTTAAATCAAATTTGCATAAAAAGTGGGTGGCTAATGATGTTTTAGGCGCCTTTAACTCATGGACGGGAGGGTAAGTGGTATTTTCCATTCTAAACAATAAATGAACAGCTGCACTTAAAATCCAGAGACGTGAAATGAAGGTTACAAAGTTTGAAGAGATTGGGCAACCCTACTTGGATTCCGTACGCCTGTCCGAGTCAGGGAGAAAAACCTGAGACGGCACAGGGACGGCCTTTGTTTATTCCCCACCCCTCCGAAACTGAAATGGACTGTGCACACATGATTCAATTCCTCTGTGAGAAGCGTGACGGTGACAGTGGAGTCCTGCAGACACAGCATCGGTCAGTAAAGAGTCGGCGCCCTGATGGGTGTTTGATGACGAAGGCCCACACGGATGCAATAAAAATGTATTTACCTCCCACTCTCTGTCACACATGCAGACAAACAAAGCACTCCGTGTCTGCAATCAGAGTAATTACGTGTGTGAATAGGCATGAGACAGCAAGATAATGACACACGCAGACCTGCACTAGAGCGGGTCAAACAGCTTTTTATTGTGTGGAGGGCGGTTGGCCACTCTCGCGTCACACTGATGGGTTTGCAGGTAGCTTTGTTATCCGTCAGAGAAACGCATTCATTTCATTTGACTCAAAATGGAACTGCTCGGAATATCAACCGGGTGAAACACTGACAAACTGAGAGCTCCGTCACGAGTGACAAACCTCTCAACTGAGGGTTGCTCGGGAAAGGCTGGGTAACACACTGAAAATGCTGAAACATATAACATCTAAGAACTTGCTCTCTTGAATATTTTACATAAAGAGAAAGTGTGTATAATATTGGCACTGGAGTATTTGCTGGAGTATTCAGCTCTTGACTGTATACAGATTACAAAATAAACCAATTTAACTAAGTTTTTTAAGTTAATGGTAGCAGCATAGAAACCATGTGAACTAAGTGTCCTTAAGCTAAAGGACAAATGATTTTTAAGGCTAACAATGTTTTGTGCAAAGACCCATCAGCCTATGATAAAAGAATAAGATAAACAAACAGTGGTGTGTGGTTTGTGTTCTGTTAATGCACATTTTTTGTGAGAAGAAACAATAAAAAATTAGGACCAGTAATCATAATCATATTAACTTAGCAATGGTTTAACAAGCTGCAAAGACAATTTTTCATATATCTTTTTACTGCAGATAAATGTGCTTTCTGTGGAATTCTTTCTTAAAGTTATGAAAAAAAATCATTCTAGAATTCGTATAGAAGATAATGCCTTTTTAATACCGGTAGAACAACAACTGTAATACTTTTAAACTTATAATCTTTTTTTTGCGCATATCTAATTCATCCTCTTCCATTGATAACAAAAATTGTATTTTTAATCTCTATGGCCTGTGTGCCATTAACCAAATCATTTTCAACATTTAAGTCAGCCTAGTCACATTTCATGCAAAAAAAATCAGCTACTTTATTTCATCAAAAAGAAAAATAATGTTTTTGTAGTTGCTGAGATATTAGTAAGCTTCATTTAACCATTGGCATGTGGCCGTCTATGAAGGTTGGCAGCGTAACTGGAAAATGAATCTAATGTGCACAGCACAGAAACACATTGACCTTGATGGTAGGACTAGAAACACTGTTTAAACTTTACGGCTCATTTTTTACAACAAAAAAAAAAAGAAAAGAAAAAATCAATTTCATTGTTTGTGATTCACCCCATCACAGGCAAAAACAACTTGAGATTCAGTCCTTGGCTATGAAAATGCTAATCTGGCGAATTCGCTCCCCATGAGGATGAACCGCTGAGTGAACGCGCCTGCTTCTTTGTGGCTCTGTTTGTTCTGTGTTGTGGGATGCGCTGCCCTAATTCCGTTCATTTCGGAAATGCATGTGCTGCTGTATGGTTTCTACGGCGTGACAAAGCAACACAGTGCAGCTTAAACTCTGCACACAAGCGCATGCATTTTTAATGGCAGACTCACTACAGAAAAACCCTGTTCACTGGGAAGCCGCGGATCCCTCTGCCCTCTTACTGAAACTAAAATAGCCACCTTCAACACTTGCATCCTTTTTTTTTTTACAGCCCAACATTCATTTCCCTCTTTAAACCACATTTCTCTGAAATAGCTCTCAATAAGGACGACAAAATGTATATTTACCAAAGGAAGACTGTTTAGGTTATTTCACTCTCCCCTTCTGAGAGGTCGCTATATAAAGACTGGTGATTCGAAAGTTAAAAATACATCCCAAGCAGATGCTGTTTTCCTAATTCAAGCCTCATTCTGAAATTTGTAGATTGCCACCGTTTCTTATAGCAACCATTAGCCAATGGTATCAAGGCAAGCTGGGGAAACCATGGCAATGGGTTTTCAATCAGAGGCAAGAGCCAGCAGCAGCAGCAGTGGTGCTGCTGCACTTCAAATGATTAGAGCTGATATAGGTTTGACAACAGGGGGCTCCCATTTCTTTGTTTTTCTCCAAAAATGATGTCTTCAAATGAGAGGAGTGCAGAGGCGCTGAAGCTCAGAGCTGAACACATGCACACTGATTTACACATGATGCACTTTTTTAGAAACTTATTTACCAGTTTGAGTAACAAATGATTTAAAACGGTGTAGTTAAGAATGTAATAATTCCTTTCAGAGCCTAGTCAAACAACTTCAATGTAATTCATAATGATAATAAAGACTACAAAAATAATGACCTCCTCTGGATTTCCTGCAGTCTAAACTACAAATACAAAACAGCAACACTTTCTTCATAAACAGAAAGTAAATCTTATCTGCAACACTAGAAAGTTTGATTTTATTCATTCCCTCCAATGCTCTTCTTAACAGTCTGATCTCCTCGTCAAATTTGGATGCCCACTCAAATACACACATGCACACAAAGCTTCAAAAGACGAACGCCGTGCTCTAAGAACTCATGCGTTCTGAGGAATGTGAGACGGTAGGCTACCTGTAGGGAATCCAGTCGGAGGAGTGCTTGGAGCTCATTCTGTCTCAGCTGCCGCTGCGAGGCTAACGGCCTGCAACAGCACCGGCGCGGCCAGCTACGGGGTCTGAGGACGGGTATCACAGCCACAGAGCCCACATTGCCTGTTCATCCTCTGCACACAGCCCTGTAATCCAAGCCCGTCCCTGTGTGTGTCTCTGTATGCCCCCCTGACCAAGATGACCAACAATCCGGTCAGACAGTTGCTCTCTTCAGTGCTGCACGCTGGGCACGTGAAATAGCCGTTTTCCCCTGTTCCATGCGCGCGCTTCCCGGTCAGTGCCTCCTCTCCTCTTCCCCTTCTCCCATCCGCCGCCTCTTTCTCCCTCTCTGCGCTGGCTCTCTTCCCTCGCTCTTCTCGCTCTGTAGGCTCTGTCTGAATCTCCCTCCCGTTCGTTCCCTTTAAATCCCCCCCTCCCCTTCCTCAGACTCCATCCGAGCCCTCGCTCTCTGCCTCTTTCGTACCGATCTGTCTCCCGTTATCTCTGGTGCGGCATCACCTGCGGCGGGCAGTGAGAGCGAGGGCCTTTTGAGAAAGAAAGGAGAGGACCGGCGATAGAGAATGCCCTCTGCCTCGCCTCTCTCCCAGTGGCTCCCTCTGTGCTGTTTCTGCACATTGCCAGCCGTTCATTCACCCGCCACCCTTCCCAGCCACACGCCCTTTTCTTCATGGACCCCCCCCCCTGCTTTTCTTGCGCACCGTGCGTGCTGCACGAGGCAAAAGACAAGCGGGGAGTCAGATGGGCTTTCTGAGGCCTAATTTATCTATTCTCTCAGAAGGTGCATTAGCATACCCGCGTGAATAGAAGTGCTAACAGCGTTTAATTTAAGACTCTCAGCGGCCAGACAAAGGCACTCTGTGATAGGGCCACAGCTCTGAACCTCTCTCACACACACATCTGCTTCCGCCCTCCTCCCGCCGCCCTTCACCGTCGCCACACAAACACACACCGCTCCCTGTGCTCTCCATCTATGGACAGATAAACCGAGTCACTTCCCCGCAATGAATCTGCTTCACAAGGGAGTCAATTCATGTCAGCCCTATCGGCGAGTAAATATCCCCCTCGTTCGATCTGGAGGTGTGTGAAATGACCCTTCCGCATCCAGTCCACTCCTGACTGTAAAAAAATGCCTTCAGGAAAGCAAAAAGCTTTTGTTTACTATCACATTATGTCCTGAAATCTGTGTCCACACGGATCCTCTGAGATTCATACGCTGGAAAATCTGTGAGCAGACTTAAAAAACAACAGCTGAGACATTCATAATGTATCCAGGCACGTGGTGTGAAGTTCATTTTGCCAAGGTCAGAGCACGTCTCGTGTGCTGGTCAGATTAGCCGCACGTTTACGCGGCCAGGCTGTAATGGAACCCCCTAAGCAAGCCAGCGGTGTTATTTAAGCTAAGTATAACAGTGGACAAACTATCGAGGGCAACCGAGGATATTTGCCTCAATTATTTATCGCAGGTCCAAACAGAAACATCACAAAAGGGCTCATTTTATTTGTAGACTGTCAGATCACAAATGTTAAAAGACAACTCAGACGTGCGTGATAATTGTATCTTTGAAGATCAGTGTGTTTGAACGCGTTATAATTAACCAGTATCACGAGCACACAGCTGAACAGTCGTGTTTTACTCATAAAGAAATCAATGCTATGATTAGCAAATATCACACGGCAATGTTTCACTGCTTCAAAATGTGGATTATTGTTTTTCAGAGTTTATAACGCTTCATATCTATATGATAGCTTCTGGCTCTCTTAGGTAAATTTCCCTGTCATGTCACTGACCAGGTGCCGGTTAATCTGCGTCAACAACAAATGATTTTTAGGAACTGTTTGGTCCTCCCTTTTTTCAACCTTCTGTTGTCACCCATCCCGACTCATTTGAGACGTCTTCCTGCCATCTGTGTTTGGTGTATGAGAGGAAAAACAGTTCTTGCTGTGCTGAAACACAAACAACATACCCTGTTAATGACAGTGACAATGAGACTGAAATGAAAATGAGCAGGTACCAATAATTACAACCAATAAGCAGCTCTGCCCAGAAATGTAGCCAGGGCTTCATTGTATTCTATATATTCAACTAAAAATGATTGCAAACTGCTTTTACAGGAGCACAATAAAACATGATTGCATTCTTTAATTGTATGGCTGTTCAAAATGTCAAGCTCTGAGCGAGTCGCACTTTCAGCCGTAAATAAAGCATTAAATAAAGTCAACTCAAAAAACAAATCAGGTTTTAAAAATTGAAACAAATGGATTTTTCCATGCTTTTGCTCACACCAGGCGTGAAGCACACATTTCTAAATAAACTGGAGGACCGAGGGGATGTTTGGAGTCTACAGAAAATCTTTTGGTTTACTTGTTTAAACAAAAACTGGAACTCTCAGAATTCTGTTGAGTTTCAATCAATTCTCAGTCATTTTGCTTTTTTAAAAAGAACAGTTTATTATCTGTGATGGGGGTATTGTGTTGGAGGCTTGGTTTAATCAGACCTATGTTCCCTTTGCAAATCTTTGTCTTTGTTTGACAACTGTAGTTATACTTTGGCACAATGTCCATATCAACTCTCCCTAATAGTCAGCTTTTAGGCCTGTTCTTTTTTCTTACTTCATCTGAATAGCTGCAACATACTGACTTTTCATATACTGACCAAAATACATTCTTAGGCTATTTATTGGCTTTTCTTAACTGAAGAGATGTTGCTTCTCCTTCCACTTAATATATATTTTTGTCATTTTTCTATGACAGTCTGGGCAGCTGGCCAAGTTAAGAATGCAAAAACAAATATCTGGTCATTATCCAGTGCAGTTAAAGTCCTCATAAGAGCAGTGTAAAGTTTGAAAGAAAATGTTTCATTCGTTAAGAAAGAATTGAAGACTCCGATCCAACGTGAGTCCTGTAGTTGTCTTTGTAGTCTTTGTAGTAAACCAAACCGATGCCACCCTCCTACAGCTGCCTAGCAGGAGGCATTGCTGGATTTTACAAAGTGGGAAACCACTAGGCTACATAAAAGTGTGGCTCATTCTTTCATGCCAACAAGTATCATCTTTGTCTGCGTGTCCGTGCTAACAATCGTGTTAGGCTGTGGTGGGGAGAGAAATGCCGATGAGTATCAGAAAAAGTTATTGTAACATCAGAACTTGGTTATGTATCAGTTTCTGTGATACAAAGAGGAGAAGGAGCGAGCCCTTCTACTGAAGAACAGGTGTAAGAGCAGCACCCTCCTTAATATTTGATGCTGTAGGGAGCACTTTGAAGTTTGCCCATGAGAGACAGACGGAGAGAGAGAGAGAGAGAGTGGGTGGGAGGATGACTTACCTCCTTCTTTTCCCTTTCTTTTATTCTCCCTTCCTTCCTTTTGTTCCTTTTGCCCTTCAATTGTTGCAAAATTCAACAACAAATGATAAGATCCTCCTGACAAATTCAATTTGTCCATCCAGACTTTAGACAGAGTTTTCCCAGGGGGCATTTTACTGTTGGTAATAGGAGGGCCAGCAATATCAGTAATTATAATAATGGTCCTGGCACAGAAGGCACACAGATGTGAAAATGGATATCTGGATTGTGTCTGCCTGTCTCAGTCTACTGAACTACAGCTGCAGAGCACGCAGCCTTAATAATAAAGCAGCCTGATCGGCTATGCAGGACTTGTGCCAACCGATCAATGCCTTTTCCTCTGTGGGGGTTAGTGCTGAACACTTGTATGTTTTTCTCTCACTTGGATCAACCAGAAAAACATACTATTGAACAAATGCTTCGGATTAAAAAGCCAACAGATAATGTAAATAACAAGAACAACTGACTGAAAACACAGAATTTCTTCTGTCATGAGAAACTAAAGATAATTTCACCTCCCAGAGTTCCAGGTAAAACACAAGGTATTTTGTTTACATGGTAATTATGTACATTTACACAACCGACTATTCCCTTTCTGCACCTTTTACTCTCGTATTTACTATGAGATTTTTGCTGAAAAAATCGTGCCCAGGATACCACCAGGATTAGATAGTTCATGTCTGGTTCCTTTTAGTTACAGCCTGCATGACATCACTAAACAAAACTGAATTGCCTGAATGCACTGTGGATTTGAAAACAGGCAAATAGGACACAGCTAAGAGGTGAGTCACTAACTGGATCCATATTACATCATATCACCCACCTCAGAGTCACTAGACTACAGTCGGTTGTGTTAGTGTAGGCTAAAAGAATAATACCTGAAGAAGGGTGACGTTTAATAATGCTCAACTGTTAAATTATTCAGACACAACACTGCTTAGGAGCAGAGGAACGGGACAGCTGAAAAAGATATCAGTTGGAGCAACATCTTGAGAGTAGGTGTGACTAGATGTTGCAGAATGTAAAAAAAAAAAGATTTGGGAAATGAAAACATACGTTGATGCTCATCTACTATTCGGTGAATGAATGTGTTTGAATGTCACCAGCTGTATTTGCATTTCCTTGTTTCTAGAGTTTAAAAAAAAAAAAAAGTTTATATTCTGACTTGTCGACAAGATGTTACAAGAAGTTTACTTTGAAAGATCTTGATATATCTCCCCCATATTTGTATTTCTATCAATTAAAACCTCGGAAATTGAAGCAGAAAAAATGGCTAAATGCTATCTGCAGCATTACCGAAATGCTACAAATCGGTTTTCAGTTCTCCAACTTGCAGCACAACACTGCAGAGCAAAAAGTCAAGAGTTTAGCTGCACGCTTTCTAAAGAAACATTTGCAAATAGATGACACATCACAAAAAAAGGCAGGCAAGCCATTGTACCGTCTTATCACAATGGGAAATGGCCAGAAAAATATTTCAAAAGTCTGATAAGATGACAAATTCAAGCTACTTCAGACAGTCCTTTTGGGAAACTTAGTCAACGTCAGATAACATTAAAATAAAAATTTGCTGAGTGAAGCAGCAAAGGGTTTGTTGGAAGCGAGGTGCGCTACGACTGAGCGTCACAGGCCTCTCTCCCACAGAAGTTCTTTAAAAGCCGATTTCACTTGTAAAATCAAAGACATCAGATAGAGCTAAATCCCCATGCTGTGCAGGTTGCTGGGAGGCATGTCGCATAAACAGTGGCATCTTTATTTGAAGCGGGGTTGTAAATTTTCTTGGGAGAGGCAGAAAAACAGAGCCTACTTGTGTTTGCGAGTGTGACTGAAAACTGAATTCAACGGCTTCAGAAACAGAGAGAGCGTGTTTATTTATGCACAAAAAGGAAAAGAGATGGGATTTAGCACAAAGACATGTTAACAGCGATTAATTCAAGCTTACACTTGGGATTTTTTCCGTATGGATGAAGCCCAACGTGCACCTGATATATGCACCTGGTACTGTCAGTCATCTGTTAAAAGACAGAGAATATCCCATAACTATACAAAGGAATGAGCAGTTGGTGACTCATGGCTGCACACACACACACACAGAGTTCTTATATCAACATAAAGCCCAGTATCTCACAGCTCAGTTGGCATCAGAGGGCATGCATAAAACATGATTTGGATTAGGAAATGTCACACTGGTTGAAACAGCGTCCCAGTGTCCCAGTGAGGCGACCAGATGGACTGCCTAGACTCACCAAAGTTCCTCTGCATCCCGGATTCCAAAACACAGCTTTATTTAGCTCCCACTCAACGCCCCTCGTGTGTAAATGCCACATAAATAC